ACACACACACACACACACACACACACAGAAATAATATTCTGAACGCCATTAAAAATGCAACGTTTTGAAAATTTAAAACTGCTATAAGAAAGTCAAATATGCTCTGATCACCACGATTTTTAGAGGTAGAGGTGAATAGTTGTTAATTTGCATTCAGGGGCGGCTCGCCCATAGAACACGGCCGTGCACTGCCGCCCAAAAATTTTAAAGCACACAACACTCATAAAGAGACAATAAAAAGAACCTTTAACATCCACTATCCAATTAATTTTCCACACATTCCTTTCCAAAGCCGAATAGGTCATTAACATATCTGTAGCACTCTACAACATCTACTTCACCATATAATAGCAAGTCCTCGTTCTTCGCCCGAGTAATAAATAGCATGTTCAGTGGTGGTAATCTAACTCGAAATATACTCTATGGGCTGACCCAAACAACGATGACGTTTGGAGCGAGTTTCGCAGTACATACATATTAATAAGGCGACACAATCTCAGTGTGCTCCAGCCGAACAAAGCCCATAGAGACAGTCTAAAAAATAACGCGATCTCAGACCAGTTCACGTTAGCTACACAATTCAATGCACGTTTTATGATAGCTTCGGAGCAATCCACCGAAGTGCTCACCATGGTGTGCGATTGGTCCATTGTCTTGCCATTTATATCTGTAGCCCCACCTCTGTAACCCTGAACTTGAGCTAGGTCAACATGGCGTTTTTAGGTCATTGTGTTAGAAAAGCCTTACTTGGAATGGTGTAGTGGTGAAAGTTTTCTTATTTGAGAGTGCAATTCCAATGCAGGATTTATGAAGTTGATTTTTTTTGCGTGCAAATAAATTCAGTTCTGTAGACCGAAGTGACACGGAGACTGTGAAATGCAGTGGAAACCTGATATAACAGGGACGGTGGGACCAGAGAAAAAGTTCTGTTATATCAGATCCCTGTTAAATCAGAAATGCCAGGGAAGTAAGCATTTATGGACTAATCCAGCTGTATCTATTCATGGGTAATTTCTATTGCCACAATTACACACGGAGGTCTCCGCATGACACATTACGTATGGGTGTCGGTGTACTGAAGAGGCTTTAGGGCTGAATTGAAGTCTGCAGCACACCGCTGCCCTCTCTCGCTTCACCCGCTTCGTGTGCCTGCAGTTGCAGTGATGTGGCTTGCGTGGGCTTGCTCCATCACTGCGTTACTCTCTCTCTCTCTCTCTCTCTCTCTCTCTCTCTCTCTCTCTCTCTCTCTCTCTCTCTCTCTCTCTCTCTCTCTCTCTCTCTTTCTCTTACTTTTTACACATTGTTAATGAGCCTTTGTCCCTGCTATAACCGATTGGGCTCCGATGAGGCCCTGTTATTGCCGTAACTTTTAATAGAGACAAAGAGTACGAAAAACGGGGATTTAAAAATCCCTCTTATTACCAGATCCCTATTATTACCGGGCGTGTTATATATGGTTTCCACTGTAATTAGGCCTTCGCCAACCCAAAGATACTAGCAGAGCAGCTAGACGTTGGTAATCTCATTGCAAAGTCTCACTATAACAAACGGGTGAGGAAAAACAGGCACGTATTGTGTAAGGTTATCGAGTGTTTTTTTTGTTCTGTGGAACTCACGAACTTGCCCTTCGCGGTCATGAAAAGGCAATTTGACGGGAAACAAAGGAATTTTTAAAAATTTAATGTGCAAGGCGCTATAACACTGACAGAAAACGGTTTGATCATCTGCTAAGCGCCACTGTTGCAAAATGTTCTTCCAAAATAATACAAAACGAACCGCTGGACTGTATTTTCAAAATATACCACGAAGAACTGAATAAATACATACGCTCTGCCAACTTTCTTTCTATCCAGACTGACGAAGCAACCAGGGGCGAAGGCTGACTTGTTTGACAGGGTAATCAAAGTGAAATGGGACCAGATAGGGCCTGTAGATATCACACAAGAATCTTACTCGAGGCGGCGACTCTTGAGTTGTGAATGAAAACAAATCCGGAATTCATATTGTATGTTCAACCGCCAAAATAATCGGGAAAGTATCTTATTAAATATCAGTTCCCACTAAAATTAAACTTAACTTTAGATGTGAATACATAAACATAAAGCAAAGAAGCAGAGATGTCAGTACTAGATCTATATGTTATAGATCTACCAGTGAGTCTAACTCTTTGGTAGAACATGACAATTATTATTTTTTAAATTTCACATTTGGCTGTTTTTGTTAGCCTTTCGCGGCCAGGAGCTGGTGTCATAATCGAGGTCACGATCTGATTATAGGACGGTAAAAAGTCGAGGAAAAAAAACAAGCACAAGCAGCAGTCAAGAGATTATTAAGAGTTAGTTCCCCTCACATTTGTGAGGTAGACTCGACCAGTGTTAGTTAGCTTACTTAATCAGGGCTGGGGATTGATTTTAACTGTGGCCCCAAAGGGGTGAACAGGGTATATGTGGCAATGAAACAGCTTTGACTGCCATGCACATGTTCCCTTCAACTCTATTCCAGCCTCACTTTATTTGTTGATTACGAACGTCTTTTGACATTTAATTTATGAGGTTTACGTTTAAGGATGAATTTGACAGCGACAATGTTTCAAAATTAGAAAGGGAAGCAGTGATTATTTGATTATATAGACGCTTCGCCCCTGGAAGCAACTCATGCAGATCATTTGTCAGTTTGTGATAATTATGAGGTATATTAAGCTGGGGCGAAGGCTGACTTGTTTGACAGGGTAATCAAATTGAGACAGGACCAGATAGGGCCTGGGGATATCACACAAGAATCTTACTCGAGGCGGCAACACTGAGTTGTGAAT